TTGTTATAACATGTGGTAAACTGCTTCACCAACATTTATTGACGCCTTCAAGGTTATTGTCATCACATTTGAACACTTCCCTTTGGACACAGAAGTATATAGTACATGACAGAAATAGTAACTTTTGCACAGCAAAAGACAATTTGGCTGCCATATTAGGCTATGATCTGTACAATGTATGATAAAAAAAGTTGTCATGCGAGTATGAACTCAGGCAGTACAGGGTTGCATCCACTTCTGCTTTACATCGTTTAATACATTCGCTGCTCTGCTTTAATGGATACTTTGCGGTGTTCTTGTGATATTCTCATAATACCACAATTTATCATATTTAATTTTATTATGTTAATTATTAATCAAGACAAATAATGTGAGGTTTATACATGCTTAATTAATTGAGGATTGGTTATATTTGTCTCACAAAAAGGGCTAGGATGTGATTTCATTCCTTTTATCATTGGTTCTAATTATCAACATTTTCAAACAGGTCGTACTTCGACATCATTAATTTAGTTCCGCATTGCATTACCAAGAATGCCTTTGAGAATTCCTGGAGAATGCATCTGTACAATACAGCATTCTGATTGGTCTGTAACAGACTTGACTTATCAGGTCAGAGGACGTTGTTGCAGGTTAAATTGTGCAACAAAACATCATGGCGGAAAATGATTTTCATCAAGAGTTTGCATAAGATTTTGACGTTTAATGTGTTCCAACAGACAGATAATTTTAACTTTGTAAATTCTGGTGGTACATGTATGTATTTTTTTGTAATAAAATGTGCATACTTTTGTGACTTTCTGTTTCGTCATTGTAAAGTGTTGTTGAAATCAATGACGATGCAACTAATTTCACAATTTTATTTTTCCCCAAAAGATGTAATTTTCTCCTTAATCTTTCACATGGTGTAATAAAATTGTTATTTGCATACTTGATTTTCAACGCTAAAATTAATTTTAATCAAATGTTTTTAGCCAGTTTTAAGATTCAAATTAATAGCACAGCATAGACATTGTCTGTAGGACATTAATTCAACTGGGAAAATTTATTGTATAGTTGCCTAAAGACCAGGTTCGAACTACTTCATTTTCTCAATATAGTTATACTCATGGAAAAACTTTACTACTTGGGGGGAAGCAATGGGGAGCCGAACGTAGAGAGCAGAAAGCATGTGGAGTCGTGACTTGATATTGTCATCATTATCAATATCACTCACTCCTCCAAGAACCTACCAAAGAATCTTTAATTTGAGCAATTTTGCATAATTTATCAGGTATCATATTTCATGTTTTTAGCTCTAATGAGGACTTTGTCAAGCAGAGCTTATCATATGAGTGATTGTCCGTTGTACACGTCAACTTTTTACTTTCTCTACTTCTTCTTGAAAACTACAAGTCTGAACGCTTTTGATACTTGGTGTATATGTACCTGGGGTAGACCTCTCTTAGATTTATTCATTTCATGATGATATTTTCAATTTTCTAATTTTGGTGAATATTATTGTGATTTTTGGTAAAAAGTAATATGTTCGACTTCTTGTTAAAAACCACAAGTCCGATTGCTTTGATATATAATATATATAGGTACTACACGTGGACCTCTCTCAGATTTGTTCATTTCGTGATGATATCTTCAATTCTCTAATTTTGGTGAATATTTTTGGTAAAAAGTGATATATTTTCGACTTCTTGTTAAAAACCGTAAGCCCGATTGCTTTGATATTACATATATAGGTACTACATGTGGACCTCTCTCAGATTTGTTCATTTCGTGATTTTCAATTCTCTAATTTTGGTGAATATTTTTGTTATTTTTGGTAAAAGTGATATTTTCGACTTCTTGTTAAAACAGTCTGATTGATACTATACATATTGTTCATTTTCTAATTATATCTATGACTAGATATGTGTCGCTCTCAAGACCTGACCATTGAACTCAAATTGGGCAACACAATGTTTATATTTCATATTTGCAAAAAATCCTAAAATTCAAAACAAGTAATTATTTAATGGTTCGACAGTAATCTTCTCAGTTATTATTCAATCCTGTTTTTGTCCTGCAATGGATGAACCTTTTTAGATGTGAAATCATTCAGTAATATTTATCCATACTGATTTTTTTAAAATTAAATATTCAATTAATTATGCAAAGATCTGATGGAAGTGGTTTGTACAATAATAGTATAATTAAAACATTATTTCACGAAAGTGGCAAAACTCAAGTTTTGAATGAAAATTAAAATTAAAGCACTTAAAAGTACTTACAAATTAAGTCCAAATTATGTCTAAATTAAGACTAAATTATGTCCAAATTAATGTGGAATACTTTATTGTCGCTAGAATTAATTTTCGCTGAAAAGGCTTTTTAAGCGTTTTGTATGGAATTTATTTTCACTGATTTTTGATGAGTTTAATGTGAAATATAGGAAAAAAAGTATAATCGCTGGATTTTATTTTCACGGAATCATCCTTTCAGCAAAAATAAATTCCAAGTGAAAATAAAGTATTCTACAGTAATTGTCTGTTCATTACCTAGTGAAAAAAATAGTAGGAGTGACGTTTTCCACTTCATTAACTCGAATTTTGCTATTATTAGAATTTCTGCCTGAGTGGAGCTTCTAGTGAATTAATTAATGTTGCCGGTCTGTCTGTATTCATAGATTTGCTTTCTTGGTGACCTCTACATGTATCTGTTGTTGTATAAGGGTCATACCTGTGAGGGCGCTCTTTACTAAACATTCGCATCTCTTCTGCTGCCTTGGGAGGAATCATTGAGATGTCATTAGAATTGAATGAGAATGGAAAATGATGTTGTTGATTGCTAAGTACATGTAGAAGTCACTTGTAAATGTCTCTTTCTGACTTTGCTTTGACATTTCGTTCTATTGCTTGCCTAATCATCAATACTGTCTGGAAAATAAAGTCTGTACAGTGAAATTAACCATATTTTATAATTATCATCATCTGTGGTTTCAGTCAGGCTACAAGATTTGTAAATCTGAAGTTGATAAAATGCAATATTTGTATTTAATAGAGATGATATGAAACACATAATTACTACTATAGATCACTTTTCTATAGATTGTGAGGTTCACTTCATAATTTATCAACATTTTTGGTAAAACGTGATATTTTTGACTTCTTGTTGCTAACAGCAAGTCTAATTGCTTTGATATTATACATATAGGTACTCCAGACGGACCTCTCTCAGATTTGTTTATTTCGTGATGATGTCTTCAATTTTCTAATTTTGATGAATATTTTTGGCAAAAAGTGATATTTTCAACTTCTTGTTGAAAACTACAAGCATTATTGCTTTGGTGTATATGTACCTTGGGTATACTTCTCTTAGATTTGTTCCAATTATTCATTTATTCCAGTCTGTTGATATTCCATGTAACTTTAGTTTATTATCTTGTAAAATTGTTAATCTCAACATGTGGAATTTCATTGAGGAGCACACATGTATGTCAAAAGGTCATATATGTTGAACTTTAAGTGTCACATGACCTATACATGTAGTTGAATGAATACAATTGATTCATTTTAATTGATTCATTTTGTATATGTAAAGCTGTAACATAAAGTTGATGATCGATGTCTGGAACATCGATCTTTATTCTCACCCCTGTGATTGTATATGTCTACTCTCTTTCAACTCTTGTGACACCATTGAGTCATAGCGGAAAGAGAGAGTCAGTTATTTAAGCCATGAAAGTAATCCTTTGTAGTTGATATTTGAGAACCGGAATTGCACTCAGAGGCAGTAGACTGTGACATTAATATTATATGCAATGCAACTTGAGATAGCTTCCCCATTGTACACCGCAGGAAGTTGGTTCAAGTTAGGTTCATTTTGCTTTTCTAATGTGTCTAACCCTATTAATCAAATGTGTGTGTGTGCTATGTAGTGTGTATTTTAAAAGCAAGTTACTGGTACATTCCTGCCAGAAGCATCTCTAAGACCTGTTTTATCAGTTAATTTTATCCTTGTTGAATGGTTTGGATGATGTATTCCTTATATTGCTGTAGGTATTCTTAGTGTTTTTATTATTCTGTCTTGTATTATTGGAAACTGTGTACCGATATATTGAGTTAGGATCCAAGTTGACAAATTAATGTGTTACGTTTCCTTGTTTAAATAACTAGTACTTTGTAAAGGATATGTTGCTTTGCATGAGAATTGTCATTCCTGTGGTGTGCTCTTAATTATCGGAGGCCATAAAGGCAATTGCTTTGATGCACTCATGTTCTACCTCTACCTGACTGCCTTGGTACCCGTAATGTTCCCTAGGGCATTTAAAAATGTTAGGCCTTGAAACTGAGTGCTCTCACAATTCCTATTTAAGCTCTAATAATGTGTTCATATACCTAGTCATCAAGGCAGTCTGAAATAATTTGATTGGATTTCAAATATATTTGTGTCCTTCCATCTGTCTGATAAATGGAATACACAAATCATGATTCAGACTGAAGATAGATGTACAAGCAATGACCACTTTTATTATAGCATGGCTCAGTATTCACAGAGGCTGGGAAGGCAATAGCCTTAATTCCCTATCTGATTGCCTTGGTTTCAATAAGACCAAGGTATTTGCCTTGAAAATGATTGCCCATGCAATTCCGAAGTTTAAGCCATGTCACAGTACAAATCTGGTGTACAACAAAGCTTAGGACAGAATGTGTTTGCTGAGGCTGAAGCATATAATACATTCAATCAATTTAACCAATTACCGTCTTTGTGTTCTACATGTAAATGTATATAGGAATTAGTCTACAAGGTTTTAACTACAGTTGCCTCAGACACAACAAACAATGAAGTCCCATGTGTGCATGACAAGTGGCTCACTACGTAGTATACCAAAAGTCATTTCTATTACTTGGAAGGATTTAGAATATTCAAGTATATATGTGGTACTTTGATAATATTATGTTCTTTTTGTAAGAAACCAGCATTTCCGCATTGTGGTTATTGATATATATTTCTTTATTTTGTGACAGATTCTAAGAAAGAAGCTGAGGGCAAAGTGAGGCAACAAGCTGCCGCTGCAGCTGCAGTGGCTGCAACAGGTAATTATTTATATTGTACATTTTATCATTAACATTATAATTTTATTCCTGACCTCTGTAACACCTTGTTCACTGTGTCTAGACTTCATATCATATTACACAAATAATCAGCCTATTTGTATTATAGGGTGACTTTAAATTCATCACAATAAGTCCAGTATATTATCCACACTTGTACTTGCTATTGGGAATTCCTAGAGAATTGAGTTGGTCCAATGCAGCAATCTGATTAGTTAATGACAGACTTGACCTATCAGGTCAAAGGACGTTGTTGCAGGTCGAGTCATGCATGGAAACATGGCAGGAAATGCTTTTCATCAAGAGTTTGCGTATGATCGAACACATTCGACAATGTTGAATATTTTAATTTTGACTGTGTACCTACAGAATAATAATCGTACCTTCTGGTGGTACATAATTAAAAATTGTAATAAAATATTTTTTGTGACCATTTCTGTTTCATTGTAAAAGTGTTATTGAAATCACTGACGATGCCACTAATTTTGCAAATTTATTTTCTCCTAAAAGACTAATATAATATTTTCCCTGTATCACATGGTGAACAAAAACTGTCATTTCCACACTTTTTCGAAGGGGTGCTCGGGTAAGTGCCTACTTCCCTAAATTACATGCCAGATGAGTACGGTAGTTGGGGTTTATATACATCCACAGTAATTACCTAATTTGCATAATACTACTACCAATTTTTTTTTTTTAAAAGAAATAATATCACAGTATAATGAAACATTGTTTTCAAATCGTTCAGCTGAAACAGCAGACATATTAGTTGCCTCACTTCTTGTTTGAAAGGCTAATCTTAAATTTGAATTAATTTTTAATACAGTAGTTATTTCTAAACTTTCTTTGATTATACATTGTTGAAATTGAAAATTAGTCTCCTGAAATGATTTAAAGTGCCTGTGCAATGCCCACCCACACGCTTCCCATTTTAGATCTGTGCCCCACTGAAGTGGGCAATTATTGATTTTTTTGCTGAAAATGATTACTCGTATCCAAGTAAATTTGAGATATTTCCCATGCTGTAGCCACGCCCACCTATCCTGAAACGGTCGACTGTTTCCGGATTTCCGACTCGCGCCGAAAGTGCGCCACCAAATGCAAAAATATGAGAGGAATCCATACCCCTGGGCCGTACTTTTATATCACTGTGTCATTCAACGTACAACTGTACTTTTAAACGATATACAATTTTTAATCGGCGTTTCTTTTGTCTATTTAATTTTATTTTTGAGAGAACGAATTTTTAGAAGTTGTTTTCACAACAAACTTTTATGATGGTTAAACGTTGTGTTGTGGGCGGTTGCAGTAATGCGTATAGTCATAGTGTAAGTATTTCCACATTTCCAATCGATCCGAAGGTGCGAAATCGGTGGACGAAAGCCGTGAAAATAACGAGAAAAGGT